CTGTGACTACTAGAAAATTTTAAATATAAAGGTCTGTGGTTCACATGATATTTTTATTGGGCTAGTAGTAATCTGCCTTGTCTCTGTATCTGCGTAAAGAATAGAAGAAGTCCTGGAGGTGAACAGGAGCCACACAACTTAACCGGGTTCCTATGTCAGGTCTGTGGTGGGCCTGCATTCCAGATCAGGTCTCCATGGCACGAGCCCAGTGTTCTCACCTCTGCATGTGGTGTCAGCCTCCCGAGTCACTGTGTTCAGGTGGGAAAGAGAGAATGCCACCCAGCGCTGATTCTAAAAGGCAGGAGCTGCTACTGCTTGAAGAGTTTCCCTGACTTTCTCAAATTATGTTTATAATCCGATGAGTTCTACAGTACCATTTCAAGTAGTTATTTCCCTGCATATAAAAATAGCAATGTAACCCACTGAAAATGGATATGAAACACAATTTACTGAATGACTCTGCTGCCTTTGATTCAGAAAGAAGACATTTAACTTGGAACACTTTGCCATAGATATAGTCTACAGATGTCAGAGCCAGAGGCCGYGGTGGCCAGACTGGCCATAGTTGTTTCACCTCACTTGTCTGAAAGCTTATGGTCTCTAATGCTGGTGACTAGGGATGCCCCTTGGGTGGTGTCTGGGTGATAGCACAAACCATCTCACTGCACCTTTCCTCTTATCTGATTCCATGGAGATCTGGCTGCCTTTGCCACAGCCTCCCCAACAGATAGTAGGTATGTTCAGGATTATTTTAACCTGTACTCACCGACCTTACCTCCTCCTCTGCTATGATACAGTTAATTCAGGAACTAAGGAGGCTCTCTGCATTCTGATTTGAAGGAAGGGGGCCTGTTTTCTATTTGGAGATGGCCTAACATCCCCAGCTTTCCTGATTTCTCTTTAAAGACAACTGCAGACAGGACTACCATGACCTAACTGAGGTGAAGGCCCATCAGCTTCACTGCCTGCTTGGGGAAAGCCCAAAACTCTTCTCACTTCACATGCACGACCTTCCACTGCTGGGCACCAGTGCTAGGCTGCACACCACTCTCCCTCCAGGCTCACTACCTCCAAGTGATTCTAAAACACACAACAGCCACAGTCACAAAATGAACCTGGATGGGACCATTGCAATCTCTTTCTCTCTACTTAATGCTGCCACTATGGGCCAGAAATGGTACCCAGACTACTTAATTGCCTATGGAGCTACAGCACAAGACTAATGAGCTGTTCATTAATGCACCCAGTGCGCTCCCCTCTCCTTCCCGTGGCTTCTGTTCCTGGTTTAGAAGCAGAATTAACAAGTTTTCTCCTAAGAGGCRTATCTGTCCTGCAGCAGTCAGCTCTTTGAACATTTAACTTCATCCTCCAAATCATTACCGAAAACACTTAATGGCTCTGGGCCCAGACCTGACCCCTGCAGATCCCATTTGCAAGGATTGTCAAAGGCAGATGAATCACCACCAGTAAGTACTTTTTGCATTTGGCTTCCAAATACAGGAGTGATTGGGCAACTCTGGGTCATTAGATTTCTGCAAATTAAATTCCCTAAAGATATATGTCACTAATACAATCAAAGGACAATGTGTGTCCCTGACAGGATATGCTAATTTCAAAGGGACAAATTCTATATTCATGTAGGATATTTGTTGAGAATAGAATGAAGACACTACCCCCGATTGGCCTCTTTTGCTTCACATTCATCATCATGTCCACTAAATACCATGAATGATGCTCAAATCTGTTATACATTTTGATGCAATAAGCCAGCTCATTTCAATTAAATCTACCTGCAATCTCCAGTTCCTGGATTAACTTACTCTGAGGATGCTCTCTGTGTTTTTTGCTTTAGATTGGGCAGGGGAAGGGGAGTTTCTAAAACTTAAATGTCTTTATAGAGTGCTGACAGTTACTATAAAAGTATTAAGTTGCTGGTTGTGAGCATTAGAGAAAGGAAGATACTAACTAATTAAATGGAAAATTCAGTTTCCTTAGAAGTGTGTGAATGCCGAATAGAAAGCACACACATACTSCATCAGCCAAAGGAAAATATGTTGTTGGTTTAGATTCCACTGAAGAGTGGCCAGTTTGTGGCTTAGCTTTTAAATCAGTTTATTAGATTTCATACATAGGGTCAGAATCCAAAGTTCAAATGTAGCRTAGGGAGGGAAAAAGTGTAAGAGCAGGTATTTTTTAAAATCCTTTCTGGTTCTGAAATTCTGTCTGCCTCTTGGATTAATAATAATCAAATTCAACATTAATCAGTTCTCACATAAACCTTTGCCATAATATATACTGGCATCCGGTATGCTCTTTCCCACTCACATTCATGAAGTGATTCCCCACTAGGTAATGTAAATAAGATAGATGTCATCTTCTCTCTTATATAAATGTCCAGATCRGCGTATCTAGCACATGTATTTTCTACCAGCTACAGACAAGATCACATTAATAGAAATCCAATGTGATCTGAAAAGGAAGCATGCAACTTGCTTTCACAGCCGTCTGGAGACAAAGGCTGCCTACCTGCAGAATCTCAAGCTTCTCTCTGTGGCCTGTCTTGATTATACTGCTCTCGCCCTGGATAGAGGGGGATRGAAGCACCTTCCTCATTGCCAAGGCTCTCAGGCTGCCTGCTGTAGGCCTTATTCCTGGGTGTAAGAAAGGCAGACAATCTTTAATTTGCTGATTTTACACTAAAAGCTGTCATGAGGCTRAGCAACGATCTTACACTTTTCTGTTGCTTTTCAATTACTTCCCTTTTCCCCTCCAACAAAAACAGAGAGAGAAATCCAGGTCTGAAGTTTGAGTTAATGGAACCCATGTTTAATCTGGAGAAACATACAGTTTAAGACGCGCTTTCAGCATTATGTGCTCTGAGTGCTTAGGAGTCCACTGACAGTGATAACTCTGAATTGTTCCTAAATATCCCTTTGCCCTTATCTACAGTGTTAAAAGGGGAAAAACTGAGACCTGTTACATTTATTAAAGTTTGCTGGCACAAGAAAAAGGTTCCAGAACTGGGTAACATTACAGACCAAAAATGGCTTAGAATGCCTCTTCTTACAATGTGGTGAACTCTTTTTATAACCAGAAAGATAGGAAATGGCATACAGATTATCCAATTAATGGAATTTGGTGTTTACCTTATTTGGGCATAATCTGGCAAACTTCAGTTTGGGACTGGCTGAGAGGTTGGCTGCTGTAATTGACTGAGCCTTGGTTGCTTAGTTACAATGGTATATAYTCGGGTTAAGTTGTAATTTGCTTGTATATCAAGCTAGGTTGTAGTTTACTATATATGGAGACTGCTTGGGGCCAAATTTTATCACTCATGTACAGAGGCTGGTTTAGGCCACATTTATTTCAGTTTAAGACCAGTATAAAGAAACTTGGAATTTTAGTTGAGTCAATGGTTTCCAAGTTAAAGAAATAAAGGAATATATCAAGCTTCCCTTGTAGCTCAAGTATGGCAATGAGATTGAATTCTGGTCAGTAAGACAGGAAGAAGTGGTTTGTATGATTTCTTGGAAGTGCCCTTAAACAAAGAAGATCTGTTTTTTTCCCCCTTCTTATTCTTGATTGGAATTCATGTGACGATGTCTATGGCTGAAGCATTCATTTTGGTCTGTGGAATAATTGTGGGAATGGAGGTTAATGCATGAATGGAGCACACAGTCAGCAGAAGCCTGTGTTCCTAATATCATAGAGGTCCATACCATCTTTGATACCCCTTATCTGGACATTTATATAAGAGAGAAGATGACATCTATCTTATTTACATTTCCTAGCGGGGATACACACACACTACTTGGCAAGTTTACAGCATGTCTCCTTAAGGACCAAAGATGCTACACTTTTGGAAGTTAGGAAAGGGTGGTATGGCATTTGAACTCTGTCTTACTTACAGACAAAGCTGATTGATTACTTACAGCCAGAGCTACTACAAACTAATACAAAGGTAGCAGGTAGATGCACAAAAGCAGGGCTTGGCCATTCCTCCTCTTTGCTTTTTGAGTTAGAGAGAGGTCAAGTATCATCATCACTTCACCATGGGAAACTCCTTTTATAAAAGTATGAATCAAGTCCTTCATTCCAGCCTCCTTCTCCTTGTCTTCTTACTTGGTCTTCAGAAGTTACTGCTGTCCTCTTTTGTGCCTGTCACTTCTCACAGCACCTAACTGACTGTGCCTTTGATTTGTTCTGTGTTTGCTGCCTTGGAAAGACTATGGGAATCTGAGGATAGATAATGTTTCTTTTGTAACCACCTTTCCCATTTACAGTTYGAAACAAAGTGTTACTTAAGTTTCAGACACTTCATAAACTTCCTAATTGGAGCAATTTGGAGTGTCTTTTTGAACCCACTCACTATCTATACTATTTCCTATGTCTTTTTATTCTCACCTTCCRATTTTTTTGTTCTCTGGAGAAACTATTTCTACAGGACATTGAATTATGATGCTCTAAAATAGGAACTCTTGAGGAGGAAGAAGAGGGCAACCCAGAGAGTTCATCAATTCTCTGTAAAGATTTAATATGTGGGAATATGAAATTCTGCCTGGAGAGAAAGTCTATTGCTTTTATCAGAATTAAAGAAAATAATCAGGGCTGGGGTTGTGGCTCAGTGGTACAGCACTTACCTAGCATGTGTGAAGCACTGGGTTCGATCCTTAGCGCCATATATAAATAAATAAAATAAAGGTCCATTGACAACTAAAAAAAATATTTAAAGAAAATAATCATGACTCTGGAAGGCAAATAAAAAAATCTTTGGTTAATTTTGATAGCTAAAATTGATTGTTGGGGGTGGGTAAGAGAAGGAATGAGATCTACTTGGATGATTCAGTTTATAAAAAAGACAAATTCACTTATAGATCCATGTATTTTTTATAGCTAAGCATTTTTAAGGCTTAATTTTCATTCTATGGTTTTGAAGAGACTTTAATCTTTAATCCCTAAAGAAGTAACCAGACAGAAGAAATCAAAGGATACACTAGAAATAAACTAAAGCAATGCTTTATTGCAACCACAAAGCACCAATTCAACAAGGCATTGACACACAGGGATTGGACAGTGTCTCTTTGAACAGAGATGTAGCAAGCCCACTTTTTCAATTTTTTAGGACAAGTACTCAAACCAGGAATCAAATAAAGAATCAGACAATTAAAAAAATATTCCAGCATCATGAAGGAATATATATAAAAATATTCTGTACTAATAACAAGGCTTTTATCTATAACTCTTGGCAATTTTTTTCCAGAAACAAATTATTATAAATACTAACCATAAAGTAAAAAAAAAAAAAGCTTTCRAAATAAAGAATCAATATAAGCAAATCTATGCAGAAAATACCATTACCCATATGACAGCTAGCTGAATACGGATGGATGTCCCCACTACACAACAGAGTTTCTCTATTCAGAGCTGTGACTCTGCTCCCAAAGGGGCCAAGATGCACCTCACTTCAAACATCGCATGTAGCAAATCCCAGTGAAACCTTAATAAGGTCAAGTGGAGGACCCTCTATAAAAAAAGGGTGTTGGCAAATCCATCCAAGTAACACCAGCTCTACAGAGCAGAGGAGTTCAAGGGAGACAGTGATCCCTTTCTATTTTTTCCCCCTCCCCAAGTACATGTGCTTTTACTCTAAGTCTGTAACCCAAAGATGCTTATTCCATTAAAATATTTTTWAAGGAATTTTGGGAAAGCAATCCATGAAGAAATGGAGAAGAAAATCCTTGATTTCAAAACCTTTGTGGGGAGGGGTATCTAACAGTATCAAAGATCATTCTACTTGACGAACTCCATAAGGAAAACCAACTGTGTATACCTTGTCCCTGCTCCTCCTGGCTGGTTTCAGGCCAGCCGATGGATTGCCTAGTCTATCCAATAGGATAACGTTTCATTTGATTGAAATTCTTTACATATACACATGTATGTATTCTGTTTACAAAGTTTCATTACATGAAACCAAATTATGTCACTGTATATTTTTTGAGGTCCAAGACCCCAAATGACTGCACTAGGAAGAGCTATTCTTCAAGTGCTTAGTCTGCAGAGGTTTTACRTGATATTCATAGATTTTCAGAGCAGGCCCCAATTTTAACTGAAGTCCTGTCAGCACATCATTCCTTGTCATCAATAGCAGGGATTTTCCATCAATTTCCTACAATGGAAGCAGAGGATAAAACCAATATGTAAGTCTAAAAGTTCAAGGATAATGAAGAACAAAGGAAGCTCARACACAAAAGTCATACCAGTTGTCCCCAAGCTAGCAACATTGCTTTTTTTAGTAGTGCCAAATGCAAAAATCATAGGATCTTCTATTTTTATTTTTTCATCCATCACTTTTATTTTGGTATTAAACACAATCCATAGCTGATCTTGTTTTCAAGATTACATAACAAATTTTACATCTTAAAAACTCATGGCAAAACACACACACACACACACACACACACACACACATTTCATGGCAAGTTTACAGCATGTCCCCTTTAAGGACCAAAGATGTTACTTTTGGAAGTTAGGAAAGGGTGGTATGGCATTTGAACTCTGACTTACTTACAGACAAAGCTGATGTTCTTTTAATAACCTCTTTCTGATTCTCTTGATACTGAGAATTAAGTATATACTATCTAACTGGCCCAATGGGGTCTAAAGTCTTAGCTGTCTGGGAATCTTGTCAATTTCAACAATGAGCACTAGTAAAATGACATCTTCTAGGAAGTTGTTTCTACCCATTAAAAGAATCATTCTGTTTTACCCCAAAACCAACCTCTCCATTCTGAGGGTTTCTACCACACTCCAACTCAATAGATCCTCAGGATTCCAAATAATATAGTGAGGGGTGATGTCCTGCCAGCTGAAAATCAGCCCTGTTCTGCTGAGTCTGTTCCTCCCATCCTGTAGTACACAGTTAGGTGCACTCCCCTCCAGTCATTCTGGAGACTATGAAGCTTTGGGGTAAAATTAAAATGGCCTTCTCACCAACAAGGAAGCACAGAAAAGTGTCTAAAAGCCCTAAACACAGAAAGTGTCTGGAAGATTCTAGAAAGGAAACATTGAGACTTCTGACTGCCATCTTATATTTGTTATTGTTTACTGTAGAAACCTTAAACTGTTAAGAATCTGAGTTGGTTCTTAACAAGGTRGGGTCAGAAGGTGGACTGGCAGTCTTGGTATTTTTGTTTATGATTTCACTCACATACTCCTGTACTTACCTGGATCAACAGACAAGGGAACACGAGGGGACACAGTATGCAACAGCACTACATGAAACTGTGACTCTGTTTTTACCAACCTCAGGGAAGCCACTCCTCCCAACCCTTTTGTGTACCTTGCCAGGGAGTGAAGAAATGTGCCTTGGATGCTTGAGAGTGTAGGAGTAACAGCTCCAGGTTAGGGGGCTGTAGGAAAACCCACTCTGTGACTTCAGGCAAGACTCCCTTTCTCCTCTTTCTCCTCATGTGGTGATGTGGGAACCCGGGGTTTCTGACAGGTTTCCATGAGACTGCYCTTGAGCACATACCCTGAGCCAGGAGAGACAGAAATGCATGCTGTTCTCCCTTGAACCATGCTCTACAGGGCTGTGGTCCTCTTTTACTTGTCAACTGCCTAGCACGAACTAGAACTGAACAGGGAACTCCTAACTGGTCTACACTGTTTTTGAGTTTGGAAACATTTATTTTGTTAGCTATTRGTAGACAAAATGTCTTGCATTAATTTGTGAGATACAACTATTCAAAACACTACCAAATTAAAAAAAAATTGCTTGCTATGGCAAAAGTGGAAAATCACTAAGGACACAGGAACTGACTCTCATGATTAAGCTCTTTCTCTCTCCCTCTCCCTTTCCATTAGTGAATCCTGTAAGTTTAAGAAGGAATTTACTGTCTTTCAGTTTCTCATACTATTGAGAAGTGATTTTTTTTTCCCCTGGTGCCTCTTATTTGACTTTACATCCTTCTTCCCTCCATCCCTCTRTCCATCTCATTATCTTCCACATCTAGAAAAACTTCTTATTTCCTCTCTGGCCCTGGTGTTACCTGTAGAGGAACTCCTGGTGCCTGGAAATCACAGTGGCCAACCTGAAGACATGGTGAGGCCACAGGAACCTGAGTCACAGGTTCCTGCAGAGCTGGTGCTCTGTCCTGGGCACTGATGAACACTGACCTGGAGAAACCCTTCCTGCTCTCCATCTTTTCATTGCTGGTGATTGCTTATACACAACACTTCTACATATTTTAAACAGGCTTCAGGAAAGAGGAAATTTCTTCACTTCTATACAAGAAGAAAACTTCCTTTACTAACAAAGTGAATTTTTGAAAAAATCTTTTCTGATTAAAAAAAGTCCTTCTACTGCTCAGCATTTCTGTCAAAACCAAGTATGTCTGTGAAAATTGCTGAAATTTGAATTTTACTTAACATAAAATGGAAAACCATGTTTTATGCTCCAACTTGATTATCCCTTTTTTCAGGAAATACACTGCAGTTCACCTCAAACCAGAGCTGGTAGAAGGAAGCTCCATCTGGAGACGTTATTATAAAAAAGTTGAAATGTATATTGTWAATTCATCCGTATGAAAAAAATCTCCCTTCTTAAACCATGACTATGCAGCTCAGATGAATGAGGGTGGAATATAGCATAATGGAAATGTAARCTTCCTAGTGGGCAAACCACAGCCTGAAGCCTGTCTCCGCAACTTTCTGTGGGCYTGAATCTTCCCTGAGCCTCAGTTTCCTCACTCATAGAATGAAAATAAAACACTGAATAACACTCTTGTGATTAGAAATGATTGATGTAAAGTGCCTAACACAGTGCCTGTCACGTAGGAGGCTCCCAGTGAGTCCTAAGTAGAGATGTATGGGCTTTGAAAGAAATGAGCTGTGTTCTGAATCCAAATCCATCTTTTGCTTCCTGTCTTCAAGTTATGGGCCCTTTGCCAGAGGGAAGCAGGCATATTCCTGTTCAAGTTCAGAAAATTTATTGCAATTAAAATGCTCAAAAACTACATAAAATATTTTTCTAATAAAAATTGCACACATAGGAAAGTTCTTTAAGAAAACTAATAATTTGTTATATAACTCCTAAAAATGATTATGATTGCAAATGAAAYCTAAATTTTGCCAATCATCATGGTGTACTGGAATGAGCTTGGCCCTGGAAATTGGAAGACAKAGATTCTAGTGCAGACTCCATCAGTAATTTTCCATAAGGAACAATTCCTATGGATCAAAATATGGTCATTAATACAAATGGAAGGGGCTGAAGTGCAACCAACTCCAACTGAAAGGATGAGGGCGGGGGAAAAAGATCCCAAGATTTTGCATGTACATACATGATGGTTAAAGGCAAAAACAAAAATATAATTCATATCTTTAGATTCCTGTGTTAATAGATTCTCATCTGTTAGCTTCAGAGACACTTGTTACGGTGATTCTGTCTTCAAGTGARAGTGATATTCAAGTTCCTGTTAGGCCATAAAATTAAAAATGCTTGCATAGTACTCATGCATTGAAGTAAGGTTTAGAGATGAAAGATTTAAATTTCCAGTTAGGATGAGACCCCAGATTTTAAAATAAATGAGTAGTTATAGCTAAGTAGATAAGAATGTGCTTTAGAGTAGAATCCTATTTTACTTCTTATTAGGTGGGGCCTGGGACATGTTATTTAATCACTACAAGCCTCAAGCCTCATTTCCTTATCTACCTGATGGGGGGAAAGCAGATACTGAATTTCACTGTGGAATGGATTTCTGAGATAACACATGTGAAATAGAATTCCAGACACAGCTGAGATATTAAAACTAAGAAAAAAGCAYATAAAAAGCTTAACCCACTTACTTTTCACTCTTTTTCTCTACCAGAATTAACCTATCCCTAGAAAACTCTTTGAATTGAGCCTGAGTGTGATATGGTCCTCAAGAAATGCATAGGAAGAAAGTTGAGGTGGGAAGAGAAGAAGCACAGAGAGAGGATAGGAAAGAAAAAGAACAGCTGTCGAGAAAGTTGACTGGCGGACAGCAAGGTAGAGGAGGAAAAATGTTGAAGATAAAGATGATGGGGCTTGTGAAGGAGGGCCCTGCAGCTGACTCAGAAGCCTCATGTGTGRTAGTGGTTTAGGTACTGTCTCTGATAGTGTGAAGGGAAAGAACCAGAAGTCTGGGCTAGAGTGAAACTGTGCTGCTTACTAGTTTTTTGTATCAACATCTGATCTGTTACCTCCTTCCTGCGAAATGAGAGGTTTGGACTAAGCTGACCTCTGTCCACTCTAGTTTAGCACATGCTCAGATTTTAAGTCTGTCTTTGATAAGCTTCATATGATACACCAGCCTCATATGACATTTCCCATTACAGAATACAAGAGCAATTCCTTACCAATGAGGTCGAGGAATCTGGTGAAAAAATCTTTCTTTTTCCACTTCAGTCTCTCTCCTCACATGTTCTACAACTTTCCGTGTAACAACTCTCTTGCCATTCACCATCTGGCTGCAAGTGGTAACCAGTTTGAAGTTTCCCATTCCACTGCTTACAAAGGGTACAAATGTCTCAGAGGTAAAGGGATTCGATCTGGAGCCCACAGATACAAAAGTGGAAAATCCTGTGTCCAATATGGGGGTCACATCAAAGAGACAGGAGTGAAATCTCCTAGCCCTATCATTGTGGCCAAGAGAAAAATAGTCTGAGAAGTGGTGTTCATCTTCAGAGTCATTCTCAAAGACATGGCGTGGCCTCTCAAAGCGCGGTTCTTCCACCGGATGTTCCTTATATCTGCTGTCTCTTTTGATTTCCTTTTGGAAGCAGTTCTCTCTGGACCTGTCATAGTCACTGCGTTTCCTGGGATCAGACAAGACCTCATAGGCCTCTGCTACTTCTTTGAATCTCTCGGCAGCAGCCTCCTTGTCCTCTAGATTCTTGTCTGGGTGTACCCGCAGAGCCAACTGGTGATAAGCCTTCTTGATTTCAGAGGAGGAAGCATTGGGAGACACCCCTAATACTCTGTAATAATTCACCATGGTTCTTCAAACAGTCTTTCCCCACCAAAACCCTGGATTCATTTCCCGAAGAATTTCCATATAATTTTGGAAAGGAAGGTGGTGGACTATTCAAGTTTACACCTTTGACTCTTTTCACATAGTTCTTGGGATGAAATCTTCTGGGGAA